TCATATCACAAATAACGAGGCCAGAAGACAATGGAATATATTTAAATGTTGAAAGGAAAATTTTTCTATCCAGAAATCTATACAAGTGAAATAAGTCTTCAAAAATGAAGACAAAATAAATATATTTCCAAGAAAATTAACAGAGGATTATTAAACTAAAAGAATTGATACCAGATTAAAATTCAGATCTGTGGTAGAGAATGAAAAATTATAAATGTGTGAATAAATATGAAGAATACATTTCTTCTCTTAATTATGTAAAAATACATGATTGATTAAAGAAAAATTAAAATGTTATGGAGACTATAATGTAACGCACAATATGTGTGGTACAATATCACAAAGGGTGAGAGGGTAGAAAATGGAACTATACTACTGCAAGGTCCCTGTCTTTTTCTTGAAGTGGTTCTATATTTATTTTTCAGTAGATCATCAAGGTTGCATGTGGTAATCCCTAGATTAGCTTTTAAAAACTGTTTTAAACACCAATGAAAAGCCAGGCATGGAGAATACCTGTAATCTCAGGAAGCTGAGGCAGGAGGATCCCAAATTCAAGGGCAGCCTGGGCAATTTAACAAGATCCTGACTCTGAATGAAATTTTCCAAAAAGGGCTGGGAAAGTAGCTCAGTGATAGACCCTAATAAGTGTGAGGCTCTGTGTTTAATTCCCTGAACCAAGGAGTTAAAAAAGCCAGTGTAAGATTATTTAAAATTAACATATCTTTATTCTGGAATATTTTAACACGATGTAAAACATTTTGACTCAGACTGTACCAGTGATTTTGCAAAACTGTCAACCTGTTTCCAGTGGGAAAAAAATTTATTGGCTTTTCAATTACTGGAAAACCATTGTGCTTTTATTATTTTTTTTTTGTTTCATTTTCAAACAGACTACTTTAAGGAGAATAATTTGAACACATGACTAAAATATCCATGGATTTATGAAACTGAAAACCATAAATCAGCAAGATGACAAATAAATAAAAATTCCAATACCATGTAATCAACACAAAGTTTGGAGGCTTTAGTTTCTAAAAAAGTCTTAATAAATTAAAAGGACAGAGCTAGCTGTGTGTAGTGATACATGCCTATAATCCCAGGAATTTGGGAGGCCAGGCATGAAAATGGCAAGTTTAAGACCAGACTGGGCAACTCAGTGATACCCTGCCTCAAAATAAAAATTTTAAAAGGGGCTTTGTATGTAGCTCAGTGGTAGGGAACCCTTGGATCTAATTCTTTGTACCACAAGTAAACAAAAAACAAACACAAACTGGTCTACTTCTTTAACATACTAAAATGGAGAAAAGGTCAACCTAAAAACCAGCATATCATGTCCAATAAGAAAACTCTACAAGTATTTCCATAGAAGTCAGAAAAAAGCTAAAAACATACCCATCTTATAATTACTTAGCATTGTTATAAAAGTAATAGTTAATGCAAGCAGATAAAAGAATAAAATCTAGGAAGAAGAAAGTAAAATTATATTTACAAATAATAAGATTAAATTCCTAGGAAACACAAATAAATTAACTGGAAAACTTTTTTTTCCAATTTATAACTTTTTTTTTTTTTTTTTTTTTTTGAGTCAGGGTCAGGGTCTCATGCTAAGTTTCTTAGGGCTTTGCTAAGTTGTAAGAGGCTGGCTTTGAACTTGCAATTCAACTTCCTCAGCCTCCCAAATTGCAAGGACTACAAGCAGGTGCCATCACACTCAGCAAGAAAACTATTTAGCGGGTGGGATAGGGTTATTTGGGATTGAACTCAGGGGCACTCGACCACTGAGCCACATCCCCAGTCCTATTTTTTGTTTTATTTAGACACAGGGTCTCACTGAGTTGCCTCACTTTTGCTGAGGCTGACTTTGAAACTCTTGATCCTCCTGCCTCAGCCTCCCAAGCCACTGGGATTACAGTCGTAAATCACCATGCACAGCAAGAAAACTATTTTTAAATCAATAAAAAAAAAATCAATGGCCTTCAAATATATAAGCAACAATTCAAAAAATATAAAGTTATTCCAATATAGGAGCAACAAAACTTAATAGATGACCTAAGAATAAAGTCATCAAAAAAAGTGCAAGACCTATCTGTTAAAATCTTTTAAAACTTAGAAGCACTGAATAAATGTAATTGTTTAACCTATTTTGGATGGAGAGACAAATTAAAGTGTTAACTTTTTATCTATAATTTTTGTATCAATATAATGCAACCCAAACAAAATGCCAATAAAATTTTTAAATGAGGTCACTTGATTCTAAAGCTAACAACAACATACGTGTGAGTCAAACTGGACAGATACTAGGGGAAAAAGTAATAACTTCAGGCATGGTGGTGCGTGACTATAATCCCAGGGACTTGGGAGGCTAAGGCAGGAAGATTATAAATTCAAATCCAGTCTGGGTAATTTAGCAAGGTCTTGTCTCAAAATAAAATTTAAAAAGGGCTAGGGATGTAGCCCAGAGGTAGAACACTTAAGCATATGCAAGACCATGGATTGAATTTTCAGTAACACAAGAAAACAAAAAGAAAAAAGTAGTAATGAGGAGTACTAGCCCAACTCAGGTGATAAAATACAGTTATATAACTATATTAGTTTAATTATATTGTTGAATTTATTTAGTTAATGATAATAGTTATAATAATTACAAGCATGGTTACAAGGAGATATACATACAACAATGAAAAAGAAAGTACAAAGATAATCTAAATAACATGAGAAAATTTAGAATATGATAACAGTGAAATTTTATATCAGTAGTGAAAAAAATGGATTGGTAACTATCTTGGGAAAAAAATCAAGATGAGTACTCTCAGACTAAAAGAAATTCTAAATTAATCAACCACTCTCAAAGAGTAGTTGAAAGACAAAGATTGTAAAATTAAAGATTAATGAAATAAAATGTGTGCAAATTAAAATTTTATGCATGTAAAAAACAAATAATAACAAAATATAAAAATACAAGGAAATATATATATATATGAAATATTTATTTTTTGGTGTAGATGGACCCAACACAACATCTTTATTTTTATGAGGTGCTGAGGATCGAACCTGAGTCCCGCCCCTGTAGGCGGGCGCTCTACCACTGAGCCACAATCCTAGGCCAGGAAATATATTTATTTGTTATATAAAATTTAACAGCAAAGGCTTGGAAACAATGTATTAATTGAACATAAGTAAATTTAGATAAATTTGTTCAATATCAAGAAGCAAGTAGATGGGTAGCTCTCTATAAACAAGATATGGAAAAAAATAAGATATTAAAAAAATTTTAAAAACATGGGACAGAATAATGCACATAATATGCTACTTCAATGTATGTGTTTGCATACATATAATTGTACATATAGTTTTAATATTTATAGGTATACCTTTGAATGCACAGACTATCTGTGGGAGTACAAACAAGAAACTGATAATAAAAGTGGACTCTGGGAAGGAGTCTACAAAGATGTAAACCAGATTGCTGAAGGTTGGAATGAGGTGGTAAGAAGATAAACTGATATATTTCACTGAATTCCCTTTAGTATTTTTCATATTTGGAAGTATGTGCATGTTTTACATAATCAAAAATAGTTAATATTTTAAAGGATTTGGGTGAGAATTTGTAATAGAGATTAAGAATTTAATATCTATATATTTAGTTGTATTTCTCCCTGCAGGAAGTTGTTTCTAAATGAGATCCTATGCAAACCCAGAAATAGGGCTTTACCATCTATTTGCATAAAACACTGCTAGAATGTGCAATATTTATGAATATTGCCCTTTGTACTATAAAATCCATTTAATAATGTTTTCACTCTAGATTTATTATTTAACTAGATCAAATTAGGAACAAACTATGCCAGACCCAGAACTCAGACTCTTCATTTTTAAACAATGCTCAACTAATTTCAAGAGCTTTGGTATTCAACCTTCAGTAACATTTATAGATATAATACAGAATCACAGAACTTCAAAACTTAATATGAGTTCAGATTTAGGTCAACCTTTTCTTTAGAACAAGGGAAACTAGTTAGAAGGAAACAAAACCAGAATCTCTTCATAGACTTTTGCTTTCAAATAATCTTTATAAAATTTATACTTAATACACTTATATGGTATTTACCACATCCTCAAAAGTGTTATGAACTAGCATCAAAGCCAGCAATAGCTTCTGTTTTCAGGCATGATGGAGTAATAAAGATAATATTTATGCTCTGCTGTAACAACTAGAAAACTGAATGAAGCATGAAACTGGACAATAAGCAGCAGCACAAAACTGTGATGGATGAGACAAGGGATACAAAATTATCGAGCCCTGTAACTGCCCTGACTTTTCTGCCCTTTAGTACCTTTTGACTCTTTTAGGAATGCTCTAGGACAGGAGCAAAACAAAACACAGAGATTGCTGGCTTGAAGTCAGAAGTCAGAACCCTTAGACAGTTGAAAGCAGCAGAGCAGAGCCCCTAAAAGTGAAAGCCCCACAAATCTGCAAATAACTGCCTGCCAAAACACAGCCAAACACTTTCAAAAGGAAAACAACCAAATCCAAATGCACAACAGAAAAATATTAACAAGGTCCATAATCTAATTTTTTGAAATGCCAGGAAGAGGATAATGTGAAACAATCAGAAAAAAATAATCAATAAAAAGATAGCCAAAAAGACAGAAATTATAAAATCAGCAGACAAGGAAGTTGAGAGTAATTATATCTATTTTCAAATGTTTAAAAAACAAAAATGTATTCAAAAACCCAAAAAAAAGCCAAAAGGAACTCTAGAAAATAAAAATAGATCTGAAATTTTTAAAAAAATACTAGATGGATTACAAAACAGACACTTGTGTTAGGCAGTTTTCTGTAAGTATAGCAAATACCTAGGATAACAAACTTATAAAGAGAAAAGGGTTATTTTGGTTCACGGTTGAGAGGTTTCAGACCAGGGCCCATTGGAGCTGGTTCCTCTGGGTCTGTGGCTGCATGTCATGGCAGGAACACACAGCAGCACAAAACCCCTCACCTCATGGCTAGGGATCAAGAGAGCAAGGAGTGGGTCAGAATCCCACCATCCCCGTCCACAGCACAACCCCAGTGACCTAAAGACGCCCAATAGACCCCACCTCTCAAAGATTCCACTACCTCACAATGGCACCAAGCTGGAAAGCAAGACGTGGGTCTTTGGAGGACATTCCATATTCAAACTATACCAACACTACAGAAAACAATCACTGGATCTAAAGACACAGCATGGAACCTTTACACTGAAGTGCAGAGAGAAAAAAACTGAATAAAAATAAAAAGAGCATCCCTGGCCTATAGGACAATATCAAGCAGTGCACATACATATACCTGGAGTCATAGAGGAGACACACAGAAAGGGAAGGACAGAAAACAACATGAACAAGTAGTGGCTAAAATTTTTCCAATTTTGATAAACCTATAAATCTAGGTATCCAGAAACTCAATGAACCCAATCCTGGATAAACACAAATAAATTAATGTCAAGAAACATAATCAAATTACAGAATTACAAAATTACATTAAATAAGAATGGTTTAACATTCAGTCCAATAAAAAGGCAGAATGTATCAAAGTAAAAAAAAACAGTTATCTACATGCTATCTATTTTTTTTAAAAGTCATTTTAAATATAATGATATAAGTCAGCTAAAAGTAAACAATATAGGAAAATATACAAAAGTACAACATGGAAAAGCTAATCATAATAAATCTGGAGATACTATACTAATATGTTAATTATAAATCAACAATTAAAAGTACAAATTACCAATTATATGCTAATATCAAAACAAACTTAATAATAGGTAATATAATCTAGGAAAAAGAGAAAAATCATATATATAATAAAGGGGACAATTCACAAATAAGACAGAAAATCCAAAATGAGTATACCCACCTAACAAAAGAGCTGTTGAAGAAAATTGACAGAATGGGAAGGAATCATGGATAAATCTACAATTTTAGTTAAATATTTCAATTTTTCTCTCATAGTAAATGATAAAAAACACACAGAAAATCAGTAAGATATGTAGAAGACATGACTATCACCATCAACTAACTGGATCAGACTGGCATTTATAGAACATTCCGATCCATAACAGCAGATTACACTTCTGGAATGGGGAATTGCTGTCTAATTAGTACAAAGATTTATTTTTACAAGATTAAAAAAGTTCTGGATATGGACAGTGGTATGGTTGAGTAACAATGTGAATGTTTAACATCACTCAATTGTATATTTTAAAATGCTAAGATGGCAAATTTTGTTATGTATATTTTACCATAATTAATAAATAAGCAATTTATTAGAATACTGAATTAAGCATCAGTAACAAAGATCATTTGGGGACATCCTGAAATACTGTAATTAAAATACATTTGAATAATCCATGGCTCAAGGAATAAACACAAAGGACAACAGAAAACATTTTGAAGAGATTGGAAATGAAAATATAGCATGCGAAAATTTCTAGAATACAGCTAAACCAGGGTTTGGAGAGAAACATGTAGCTTTAAGTGCTTATTGCAAAAAAGTCAGGTCTAAAACCAGTGATAGAATAACATGAATAAAGTAAAACCAAAGTAAGTAGTGGGAAAAAATAATAAAAGTAAGAATTAGTACAAATAAAATTAAAATAGACAAAAACATAAATAAAAATCAATTAAACCAAGTTTTCCTTGAAAAAAGAAATTAATAAAAATTATAAAGTAACAGCTAAATTCACTAAGAAAAAAGAGAAAAGTCATAAGTTATCAGTAACTAGAAGGGAAAAGTGTACATTATTTTATATCTACAGACATTAAAAGGATAGTAAGAGGGGATGAAGATGTGGCTCAGTGGTAGAGTGCTAGCCTCTCACATGTGAGGTACTGGGTTCAATCCTCAGCACCATATAAAAACAAATTTTTAAAAAGATTTTTTTAAAAAAGGAATAGTAAAGTAATGTAATGAAAAATGTTATGCCAATAAATTCAACAACTTAAAGGAAATTGGAAAATTCCTTGAAAGACATGATTACCAAAACTGAATCAAGAAGAAACAGAAGGGAGGGGAGATGGGAATGTGAAAGACAGTAGAATGAGCCAGACATAACTTTCCTATATTCATACATGAATAGTGTAACTCCACATCATGTACAACCACAAAAATATCAAGTTATATTTCATATATGTGGGATATGTCAAAATACATTCTTCTGTCATGTATAACTAACAAAAACAAATAAAAATAAAAAAGAAGAAATAGAAAATCTGAAGAAATCTATATCTTTAAAAGCAATTGAATTTGTAATTTAAACATCTTCACAGAAAACTCCAGACTCAGCCTCACTGGTAATACTATCAAATATTTAAAGAATAAATATTGATCTTACAAAAACATTTTCAGAAAAGATGCAAGGAGGAAACACTTTCAAATTCCTGTGGTAAGGTAGCATTCTACTCACACCAGAAGCAGATAAAGAGGTTTTAAGAAAACTTCAGATCAATATCTTTCATGAACACAGACGAAAAAATTCTGAATAAAATTTGAGTAAATCAAATCTAAGAACATAAAAACTCCAACAACATCTAAACAAAGAATACACCATAACGAACTGGCATTTATTTTCAAATTTTAAACAAACCTTGCATCCCTACAATAATGCTCACATGACTGGCTGACACGTGAACACAAATTAATTGTAAACCACTACATTAGACTAAAAAAAAGAAAGCCCTTTAATCCCTAAATAAATGTTTTTTAAAAAGCATTTGGCAGCATTCAAGATCATTTATTATTAAAAAATAACTCTCATACTATGACTAGAAGAGAACTTTCTGAACATAAAAGGGGCTTCTACAACAAAATCTACAGCTAACTTCATACTTAATGGTGAGAGATTGAATATTTTCTCCCTATAGTCAGAAACGAAACAAATATATACAATATCATAATTCTCTTCAACACTGTCAAATTCTGGTCACTGCAATAAGGCAAGAATTATCCCAAGGAATCTACAAGTAAAATAATAATAGTATAACTAATATGATTATATCACAAGGTCATAGGATATAAATTCAATATACAAAAATAAACTGAATTTCTTTTTTAAAAAATTATTTTTCAGTTGTTCATGGACCTTTATTTTATTTATATATGGTCCTGAGAATCAAACCCAGTGCCTCAACATGCTAGGCGTGCGCTCTACCACTGAACCACAACCCCACCTCCAAAAAAAAACTGAAGTTCTAATACCAGAAATAGATAATTGTATATTTAAAAACCTTTTAAATATATCATTTACAATGCATCAAAAAAATGTGAAATACTTAAATTTAATAAAATATATATAGGACCTACATAAGAAAAATTACAAAACATAGCTGAAAGAAATTAAATAAGACCTAAATAAATGTTCCTGGATTAGAACATAATACAGTTAAAATGTCAATCCTTCCCATATTAATCTACAAATTCAATGCAGTTTAAATCAATATTCCAACAAACTTTATTAGAGAAATTGGTAAGTTGATCCTATATTTTAACTTATATGAAAATGCAAAGAACCTAAAGAAACAAAGCTAGAAAATTTACACTATCTGATTTAAAGACTTATAATAGGGCTACAGTAATCAAGATAGTATGAAACTTGCATAAGGATAGGTATATAATAAATCAATAGAACAGAAGAGAGAAATAGACCCTGTTTATACAGTCACTTGATTTTTTTTTATTGGTTGTTCAAAATTGGTTGTTACAAAGCTCTTGACATATCATATTTCATACATTAGATTCAAGTGGGTTATGAACTCCCATTTTTACCCCAAATACAGACTGCAGAATCACATCGGTTACACATCCTCATTTTTACATAATACCATATTAGTAACTGTTGTATTCTGCTACATTTCCTATCCTCTACTATCTCCCCTCCCCTCCCCTCCCCTCTCATCTTCTCTCTCTACCCCATCTACTGTAATTCATTTCTCTCTTTTTTTTCCCATTCCCCTCACAACCTCTTATACGTAATTTTGTATAACAATCAGGGTTTCCTTCCATTTCCATGCAATTTCCCTTTTCTCTCCCTTTCCCTTCCACCTCATGTCTCTGTTTAATGTTAATCTTTTCCTCCTGCTCTTCCTCCCTGCTCTGTTCTTAGTTGCTCTCATTATATCAAAGAAGACATTTGGCATTTGTTTTTTAGGGATTGGCTA